GAATACTTTCCGTACCCACGGTATACTGCCTGGACTGGTTACATAGTATGGCAGCATTTGTATGCAAAAGGTGTGCTTACGCTGCTTTGCATACAAATAAGTGTGTGACTTTGATTGAAGGTTTACTGTAAAAATTAGTGAGAGTGTATTTAGCATGTGCCTTAATCTGTTTATGTTGACTGTGTGTGACCCTGTGATTGGTTTATGGGATTAGACTGAGTATCATTCTGTGTGTGTGTGTGACTGGCAGGAAAAGATGGCTGAAGGGGCGTGTCTGATGTTGCTAGGCAATAAGACAGACCTGGCGACCGCAGGCGGGAGGGAGGTGACTAGAGCACTTCGCCGCAGACTGCTCATCATTTCTGACTGATCTCAGACATTTGCATGTGTCAGTGTTTGTTGTTGTGTGTGTTGACAGCAGTACCAGGCTGAGTTCTATGAATGCAGTGCTAAGAGTGGACACCAGGTGGAGGAGGCTATGACCCACCTGACCCAGGGCCTGCACCATGATGGTAGATGAACAAATTCAGAGTTACAGGATTAGTTTTGAGTTGACAAAACCAAACCACTCCAATCCGGCTTTGTTGGTACCATGATGCGTATCATCAACTTTCTTCGTCAACTCAGGCTTTGATCCTGAGTTTGTGGAGCGCATGCACATGAATGTGTGACATCACTGGCACACAGCCAATCACATGCCTTGCAACACAGAGCAAGTATGATTTACTTCTCGCGAGAGACCCATCAAGATTCCAAACTAAAGGGTAAAGGTTTTGCTAAAGGTTATGAGATTGTAGAATATGACGAATTTAAACACATTTACACTGAAAAAGTAATTGTTCATGAAAGAGGACAAATAAAAGAAATTATCTTGCTCTATCAGTGCTACCTGGCTAGCCAGCTAATCTGGCTTCATGGTACAGGCCCCAGGTGTGAAACTGGATTAATGATAGTTCATATTTGGCAATCACAAGTAAAATGTCCTTTTCCAAAACAGTATTTATCCTCCTGAGACCCTGTGACCTCATATGAGGACATTATATTTTGATGTATTATACACCAAAAGACTATACATGCCACAGTTGTAAGTCTGGATGTCCTGTACAGAGCATCCTAAAAATCTTTTCTAGGGTCTTAAGAGGAGAATATAATATAATATAATATAATTAAAATAAAATTACTATTTATTTATTTATTGCTGATGCAATTCAATTAATTTTATTTTATTTGACTTTATTTTATTGAATTATATATTTAAAAAAATGTTCAGGCTACTTGCCTCAGCAGGACAAGCAGTGCGACTCTGCGCTCCGTCTGGACGCCTCTCAGCCAACAGAGGGCGCTGCTGCAGCGATTACGTAACTCATGAATATTAATTACGTGATTTGACGCTCAACGAATTAAAACAATGTATGAATATTCATAGACCAAAGATATTCGGAGTGGATAGTCTGCCTCTGCACGTCGTACAGCTAAATTAATAATAATTTTCAGCAAGGTATAAAACTGTAAAAGGTTATAAAACACACATCGGGAACAGTGATAAGATCATTTTAACACACTACACTACAATCTTGTTTATACACAAATGCATTTATTATCAGCCTAATGTTAAATATGGCCTGCATAAGTATTTTTATAATTATTATTAGTGGACTTGATCAAGAAATGTCATTTTTGGAAACACCAAATTGAATGTTATGTTTACAGTAACTGTTTTCTATGTAAACCCTGTATATAAACACTGTATCAGTTGTTTGTTTTTGGGACTGGAGCTACAGCGCCATCTGTCGGCAAAATACAAAGATTATACAAATACAAAAGCCCCCTGACGCGCGAGCAGTGCCCACAACACGCAGACAACAGAAGGAACAGCGGACTCTCAAACATAACTAAACAAATACGATCTACAACTGGACATTCATTCAATCACGTCCTTCAGGTGGGTGCGTTATTTTAAACACGAACTTCTATTA